CAAGGCCACCGAGGCGCGGCCTCGGGGAGGCAGGGCGCAGAGGGGCGGCAGCGGTGTCCTTGCGGGGATGTTGCCCTCTCTACATTCAGTCCTGCTTTGTACTAGCAGGACTAAATGTAGAGTGAGGCAGCCAATTTTTCGTTTACATGTGAACTCGGCGATGTCGCCGAGATCACATGTAAACAGTGTGCAGCCTTCTCCCCTCCCCTCTGCACTTACCTCTCTCCTTTGGTTCCGTCCTCGGTCGCTGTGTCCCGAGTCTCTGACTGCAGTGAGCAGAGCGGCCAGGTTAAAAGTAATCCTGCCGCTCCGTGCAGACTGTAGACAGTGAGAGGGGAGAGCTGTGCTCTTCCTTTCTCACCTGTCACAGGAGTTCCAGCACAGTTCTGTGCTAGAACTCCTGTATTGGAGGTGACAGGGTCAATAAAAAGAACCAGTTACCTCCAATTGCTATTACACAGGGGATTGTTTTCTTCTGTGTGATAGCAATAAAGTTAGGTGGAAAAAAAAATGAAATTGATAAAAAAATGTTTTAAATAAATAAAAATAAAAATGAAATAATTAAATAAAAAAATAAAAAGGTAATTAAAAAGAAACAAATTATTAAAAAATATGAAAATAATGATAAAAAATAAACAATAATAAGATAAAAAAAATTATAAAAAAGTAAATAAGATAAATACAAATCTAAAAAAAAAATTAATTGATAAAAAAATTATGAAATAAATACAAATTAAAAAAAGAAGAAATAATTAAATAAAAAATAGAAAGTGATAAAAAAAGTAAAAAAAAAAAAATAAGAAACAGTAAAAAAAATGACGCTAACCCCGCCGCCCTGCCATCTGGTTGCCATTCTCCATTGATGGGAAGGGGGGGTGCATCGCAGAACCTGGCCTTGGGGCGGCAGGGAGAGTAAATCCGCCCTGGTTAGGAGACATCAGCTTGCCAGTTTCCCAAAAGGCTGTATATTCCTAGATTAGGTGGGATTGACTCCTGCTACTACACCATTATTATTATCACTATTATTGGCAAGCAGCCCATCATAGTGATGGGTCAAAGGGAATGTATGCTGGCTTGAGGGAATAGGCAAGCTATGTCACTACCCAGAGATGTCAGAGCTTTGCCTATTAGGAAAAACCTAGCATTTGAACATAAAGGTGGTAATTATAGATGTTGTAGGTATGTCCAGGCATCTGTTGGTGCCTGCTCTTTATACCTGATAGCAGCACTCAGTCAAGGCTAATTTCTTCCCTCTACTCATGTTTCACAGCATTTCCTGCAGGTATATACGATAGGTGTGACCATCTCTTGTATTGTGACTGGCTGCAAATGGTCATCGTCTGTTAATTCAGTTGGCCTCTTACATAACACACAAGGCTGACCCATACTACTTCTCATCTGCCAAAAAAACATTATACGCCCTGGGAATAAAATGAAAAGTGCCTTTTTTTCGTATTTTTTAAGCCAGATAAAAATTGTGGATTTGTTATCAGCTGCTTGCTTTATACATCTCTGTGTAGGTGACCCTTGAGATTAGTTTAAACCATGACTGTAGTTCTGTCTCGTTTCTTCAAACCTAAACGACCTTACGTTAACAAAACCTCATTAATGGCCTTGTCAGGTTTTTTTGTTTTTGTTTAAAGTCTACAACATGCGATGCAGGAAAAGTGTACTGAAAGGCTTGATAGTATCGGTGTGTAAGCATTAACAATATCACCTGAGGCTAGACTGTTAAGAGATATGAAAAACATTTTAGAGTCCGGCTGCATTTTTTAGCTGTTTCTTAGAAGCTATGGAATAAAATTGATTGCAGAGCTCTGAATACATTATTACTGGCTTTCACTATAAATCTTGAATGTGCTTGTCCTTAAGCTTCACCGGCATTCTTTTGTTTAACCACGCTTGTATACCACCTTTAACTATTGACTAACACATAACATCTCAGTTCATCACAGACAAAATCCCAAATTTGTAGAACATAGCAGTTCTATGCAGAAGTGCCACTTTTATAAATGATGAGAACCTGAAATTGGATTACAAGTAACCTTTGGCTTTCCATCAGTGAGACAATAGACAATGTTGTTAAGGGCAATTTCCATGCACAGCATGTGGGTCCTGTTTCCCCATCCAGGGACATGGTTGTATACTGATCACAACTGTTTATGCATGTTAAGCAGCCTGGCTGAGAAAGCCTTCATAAATCTCGCTTAAATGTCCTTTAATAGTTACCGTTTCACTTATGCATTCCTTTTTTTTTGCTTGCCGAGGGCAGCTAATACCATGCTTTATTTTCTGAAATAGAGTTTTCAGTATTGCAGTCTTACACACAAAGATTGGTAAAAAAAAAAGTTAAAATGGTATTGTTAACAACATAATATTCCTTTTTGTCAAATATAAATCTGTATATTTAATGTTAAATATGAAAAGGTTGATGCTGGTTGTACAAAGAGGAGTACCAGGGGAAGACTATATACTAAAACGTCTACATGCTTTAGCCTCAGTTAGCTCTTGTTAAAAATCGATATTTTAGTTATTGGTAGATACGAGAGAGATAAATGGGATAACAATTTCATAGGTCTCCCAGGAGCTGAATTTCTAGGTATGCACACCTGCTTAAAATGTGTTTTATATTATTGGGAATTCAACAGGGGGAGATGGTACACACAAAGGTGGGCAGGTACACCCAAAGCTTCCATGTGTACAGGAACAGTGTCAGGAACAATGGTAGCAAGGTTGCTTGTTATTTGAGCATAAAAAACCCCCATATATATATCCAGTAATCAGTCTACCTGGCTCCATCTATAACTAAACTTTTATTTAGAGTGGACTGACCCTTTCATATAATTATAATTCATTAATGTAATTGATATTTTATAATATTTATTATTGTGCAGTTTTATTTGTTAGAAACTTAAATAAAACTGTAGCCTAAAGTATTGAATTGTTCTGTACAGGGCCGGCCTTAGGGGTGTGCGAGCAGTGCGGCCGCACAGGGCGCCATAGCAACAAGGGCGCGGTGCGGCCGACACAGCTCGTCCTGGGGGCGGCTTCTCTCCCCCTCACCGCTGGGCGCTGGCCATCCGATATGACAGCGCTCCCT